TTTTTTTTTAAAGATTGATGGTGTTGATACCGTCAGTGCCTGGATACGGCGAGATTAGTTGGGTTACTGGCCACAGAGCAAGGGTTCACCCTGTCTACTTTGATGATGAGTTTCTTTTTTCCCGTTTGCCCAATAACTAAATAAAGTCAAGCTTATGGCACACCTCATTAAACTATTTGACAGTCAATTAGTACATATTAAAGACCTTTTTTGTATGTTATGAACCTATTCATCAATTTGTAATTGACACAGTCATTAAAAAAGGACAACAAGGGACTATGTCTTTGGATATTTCTTTTGTTTTTTTTGAAAATTTTGTCAAAAACTATTTTTAAAAAGTGTTCATTTTAAACTTAAAGATTTTTCCTGTAATTCTGAATACTTACTGTGAAACGTGTCTTTTTCGCGAGCATGTCTTTTTAGCGAATTTAGCGAGAGAACCGATTTGCTATTTCAAGATGTCGCTAATTACTAATAAATTCAAAATGAAGAAGGCTTGGGGATTTGTATACAGTAATCTGGAACGTAAAATTCTGGGGCGCTTCCCAATTACACTTGACAGTTTTTCTTTGTTTTTATGGAAGTGATAACTGCGCATTTGTTTTGGCACATGACAGAGAAATATTGTGAAAAAAGGAATAACAAGTTAGATTTGCTAAATCAACATTTCGCTATTACGTCATTTTACCACAATTCGCTAAAATTGCATGTCGCTTTTTCAACATATTTTACAGTATTTATTTGACGCTGATGTTATTGTGATGCTTCATTTTGAATGAAGTTACTGCAGTGTCTGTTTAATATTCACCTATAGTATTTGCGCTATTAATAGCATGTGTGATTCTGTAAATAATTAGAAGTACGTCTATGGTCAAATAAGTCTGATCCAGCATACAGATAATTTTCGGTTCATATGTGTTTCTTTTTTTCGTTATATGCGTTACAGATGCACTACTAATAGAGAAAATATTTGACTAAACTTATTTAATTAATTTTTTTCTTTTTTTAATGTTTACTAACACTTTTTAATAATATTTTTTGCATACAGTTAAAATTAAAATACAGCTTAGAATTTTACTGTCTCGTGAATATTCATTTTAATTTCATCGGGTCAGATTGCACGTTACCCAGCGTCATTTAATCTACCATGAATTCTCTTTTTTTTTTCCACTGACAGCTGTTCTCTAACATCTGTGTTTTTTTTGCCAGTATTTACCAAAAAAGACAGTATCACAGATTCCGTCCTCGATTTTAGAGTCGGATAAAATCACTATTGATGGAAAGGAAGCAGAGATTCAAGCCGAACATGTGAGACCTACGATAGTAAGTGTCACTGGTCACATGACTGGTGATAATTGACTGAAATTGAATGCATAGAATACTTTCCCATATTATAAAATTCCATTGTCAATATTTTGGGATTACATTACATATTACCTCAATTCCATCTGCCCCTAAACCTGAATAAATATCCCGCCAAATATTTGGTGCAACATTTTGCACAATTTTTCAATTTTTTTGAGAATTTCTTAATTTATTTTTGGACCAAACTGATATAAATTTCCATTGTCGCTTTCAAAAGGGTTAAACTGTCAATAAAAAAGCTGCTCTGTGATTGGTCGGATTGTTCGGAATGGGGACAACCTTGTACATGTAGGTAGACTCTGGTTCTTTGACAGAGAACCACAGCAACTTTTGTGAAATTTATTTTGATACGAATCATGCCCACAAGTGATCAAAATAAGAGAATTTGTAGTGACAAACTTTTAAAGGTTTTTGGCTGATTCCCTTCTCAAGTGTCGTGGGTAACAATCCCCATAAGGCCATTAACTAATTATGGTTCTGGCATTTTGATTGGTCAATCATGTTTCAATTCTTTGTTTTATTTTCCTTGGTTACCTGTCATCAATGCTTACTCTCATGGTTTTCCATCTTCCTTTTACTCACAAAAGTTGCTTGAATGTTTCGTTTGTTATCACATTATCAAAAATAGCGATGGGAATGTTTTCTAAATGCGTCACTTACTCGTAGGGGTTCCGGGCGGAGAAATCAAAGATTACTAGTCACCTGTGGCATATTTGTCATTTGTATGGAATGCCTGGAACTAGTGAATTGATGATTAGCTTTAATTTTTTACATTGTGCCCTTGAGCCTCATTCTCAGATACTGAATCACTTTGAACTGTGAGGGCAGTTGACCTATAAAAAACTTCTCTGTTTACCTCAGGAGAATGATTTATGGAAAATGAAGCCGTCAACTGACGTCAAGCCATCTGAGGCATCTTCAAAAAAAGTGACCATCAATCGAGGAGACAGTGCCAAGAAAAGACAACGTGTCGAGAGTGAAGAGGAGCCAGCTAAGTCATTAAGAGAACAGGTACGAGATGACTGATTAAATTATGCGCATTTATTATTATAAATTGATACAAAGCAGAAGCTCAACTCTAGAATTTGGGTGTATGAAAGAAAAGATGGCAACCGGATTTCGAAGTGCTTCCTCATTGTTCCTTCACTCATTGTGACAAAAAGAATGCAGTTTTTACCGATGATGACGGTCAGTCGTTTGGACGGATGGATGTGGACGACTTCTTCTCAAAAACTGCTGAATTGTTAGATTTTTGTTGTGTACCTGCCTTGATGAGTGTAGATGAATTATGTTCATGAGAATTCGATCCACCAAAAAATCATGCAAATTAGTTATCAAAAACTATAAAAATGCTTAAATGACTTTAACACTACTAGTATATGGTCTACAGTGCTGATATTGATAGTGTACATGTATTAGGTTGATCTCTATCAGATTTGTTAATTTCATGATGATAACTTCAATTTTTGGTGAATATTTTTGTCATTTTTAGCCCTGTTGCCTCGAAAATGACCGAACTAAGCTCCTGTGTTGACCACACTTGTTGACCACATCTGTCCATCGTTGATCAACTTTTTTCATTCAAACGACTTCTTCTCCAAAACTGTCAACTGAATTGCCTTGCTATTCATACCACACTTACCTGGGATGGTTCTCTGTCAGATTTGTTCATTCGTTACATCACATATAAACCTCTATATTTTGTGAATATTTTGTCATTTATGGTTAAAAATGACTTTTTACACAACCACTTGTCAGATTGCTTTGAAATTTGGCATGAATGTTGTTGACATGGATTACACTCAGATTCATTATTTTCATGGCACTGTATGCGAGTATCTATTTTTAGTGCATTTTAAACATTTTTTTGGCTAATTTTGGTGCATTTTTGACTTCTCCGAAACAATTTTTGTGGGAAGTTATGTTTTTTTGTTGTTATTTTTTTGGATTTCTTCACTTCACATGGGCCATGTATAGTGCATGGACTCCAGTGAACAGTGTCATTTGGAAGCTAAGCTTTCTTAGTACACATTGTCTTAAATGGAAAATGAACTAGATGGGACAATGTTTTCAAGAAATGCTCAAGTTCAGATCAAGGTCATTTCAAGGTTTAAAGTTTGCTGTTTTTATATGAGTCAATATGGAACAGTGCTTGACTAAAAAACCAATCTTCAAGGCCCGTTCAGGGTCTTCTCAAGGGCCCAGGTAAGGTTCATCTCAAGGTCACATGTTGATTGCATATGTATTGGGGGTCAGGATGTCACCCCTCTGTCAAGATCTTACATCGGTCAAGGTCATTTCAAGATCACATGTCACTTTGTCATATTGTCTAACTTTGTCATTCTCAATTCAGTCACATGTACAATAACCAAATAATGCAGAAATATATTTTGGTAATAGTGACAACAACTTTATGTTTCAGCTTCAATTTCCTGTACACCCACATCGTCAATTATACATATCCATGCATTACATACACAACTACGATTCCCCTAATACAGGATATGCTCTTCCAGTGACCATCACCACAATTACTAAACTGTCATAGATTCCCCTTATCATATCCACTTAGTAACTGCCACTGCCCTCTCCGCTTGTCAATTACAGTGGAGCTCTACTGACCGCAAGGTCGCCTGTTGGTAAAAAGTTATATTTTTGTCTTTTGAAAACTACCAGCACAATTCCTTTGATACTTGGTATGTAGATACTAATATACCATAGCGTCATGCACAACCCTACTCCCAAATGTAATGACATTTTTCGGGGCAAAAACTGTTAAATGTTCTGTTCTATTGAGTATGATTTTGTTATTATATGAAAGTATTCAAAATAATTGTCAATCTGTGACAATCCGTTCTTTCAATGCAGAAAATTTCTATGTATGCAATTAGTTAGCAAACAGAATCAACACATGCACAGTAATGTTTGTATTCATAGTAAAATTGCAATGGTGCAATCTCTGGGATTGTGGAGGCATCATTTAAAGCATGTTTATTTTACAGATGTTTTATAAGTCGCTTGTCAAAAACTGCGCGATGCAGAACTGTGGTGTCTAGGATTGTGTGTTTGTGGGTGTACAAATCTGCTATTTCAATTCAATTAGTTTTTAATTAATTTGCATCTTGATATCTAAAAACATAACCAGTCATTCAGTTTGGTACCATACTATTCCTGGATTGTACTAAAAAGAAAAAAGCAGGGTTTCCAGCTGAGAAAACTTTCTTTGATTTTGTCGGCCCTCTGAGGTGTAAAAGCAGGTGATTTATCTGTGTAATCACTGAGTGGTATAAATTCCACATCTGAAAATATTTAGTGAGTTCACAGAAAATCGTCTCATAAAAAAAATATTTGGGACATTTCTTGTTTATGAAAGTTGATGTGAATACTTCCATACTTTAAACTGAAAAGTTAGAGACCCATCTTGGTATAAAATACTATGTAGGCATGTTTTAATTACAGTTTGAATGTAAATTCTCAATGACGCGTACATGATTAAACAGCGCCCTCTATTTTTCATATTTTATTGCATCGGTACCGAATTTTCCATGAACTTCTTCTGATCAGTCCTTCATTTGCATATTTTGCATGTTTTAAAATTGAGTGCTTTGATTTTTGCTTTGTTATCACATTTTTGAAATGTTTTCAAATTACATTACCGTACTAGTATCATAAGTCATTAGATCTAGTATTGTTAAGTCATAGAAATGTTAATATTATAGTTTTAATATTAATGTATGTATCAAATAATTTACAAGACAGTCAAACATATTTCCATCAATAAATTGACCATATATACCCCTACAACTGCATGGGCACCCCCCAAAAAAAAACATACAAATTAGTAGACTGGTGGTCCTCTCCATCATTTTGTTGATGTTTCACACTTTTTCTTAAATAAAAACAATTATTTTAGCCACAGAATGAGCTGCACCAGTCTATGAGAAAAGCTATGGGTGAGAACAGGTCAATCACACAAATTTGATTAGTCTGGAGATTCAGTTTCCTACACTTTAACAAAGCAAGCATTTATCTGTTGTCCCCTGTGGTATACCAGCACATAGTGAATAAATAGTCTTTTGTGTGAATTATGGCTGGAGACATTAAGCTGTTTTCAATTTTTAAAAATTTAAAAAAAAAACAGTAATCTTTGAATTTGGAAAATTTAAATTTATGTAATATATATATATATAGCTCATATTGTCACTGCTTGTGTAATGCCAAGATACTGTAAAATACTTTATTTTAGCTGGACTTTATTTTTGTTTTGTTTGAGAAAATATATATATGTCTAACATATATTTTCACTGAGTTAAATGTAAAAACATTTAAAAAATTATTTTCACTAGATTTTATCATACAGTATTTCCAGTGTTGCAATAGTTATTGAATAACAATTAAAGTTACGACCTTTGAACTATCAATTTTCCATGCCTGAAAAATTTAATTTATTATATAATAATTAATTTTGGACCAATTTGATACAATTTGTTATTGGCTACAGATAGGTCTTTACAATTTTTTTTTAAAATACATTATAAGTTTTGAAAATTAAATATAATAAAATAAAGCACTTCATATATCCATCTGTCCAAATGAATTGCCATCAATGATAAATGTTGTTACCCCAGCCTTCTAACAAGTGTCAAAGAACAAGGTGGGATGTTATAGTGCAGTATATTACACTGTGGTTCTTCTGAAAATTATTTATAAATAATTTATAAAAAAAATAGTGAAATTTATAAAATATTTTAATTAAAAAACATTCACGCCTTTATGAAATTCAGTGTATACAATTTTATATAAATTCGTCACTATATTAATCCCTGTCGACCAGTATTGATATAATATTTCTTTTGCCCAAAGGGTGTGCCGAAGAAGAAACGGAAATGGATGGAAAAGGAAGTTGCAAAAAAAGACAAGGCATCTACGTCTGTGGATAATAGACACAGTGAAGGGAGAGTGTTCCATCCTTTTGACTACACCAAGGCGGATTATAAGGCATTTGAAGGTCAGTATTTTATTATACGTAGCAATCAATTGTTGTGTATCAAATGAAAAGTATGGTATATTGACGCCAACTGTGCAGGCATTGTGTCCGGTCACTGTACCTGTGATCTCAGTGAATGACGTGATGTAATCAATTGAAATTTTTTTTATAACAGCTGTCTGGTCTTTATATCGCGAAGGTTGGCTATAATTATTTGTCTATAAGTGCATGTTTTATCGCATATCTATTCCCACAATTGTTGCACTAAGACGTGTCATCGTATTTCTGATTGAATGCCCCAAGATGATTGATTGATTGATTGATTGATGAACAAACAAACATTTATGGACAATAAATAGATGAACAAATAATTAATTGATATTCATGAAAATCTTAAAGTGAGAGGGTCATCATCTGCGCACGTGCAGGAATTGAGTCCCAAGCGACACACGCTAAAACCGCAAAGGCTTATGGGTAGTCACTTGTTTGTAAACAATGACACGCTATGGCCATCTGATGGTGATGACTCCCTCGCTTTAAAACTGATACTAGGTTTTCTTGATTTAAAAGCCCTCTATGTTTTCTCTGGGATTACAATTAATAGGAATTGTTTATACCGAATGAAACTATTGTGTACAGAATTATTTTTGTACTGTTAGTTCTTCGGATGACGTCCTAAACCAGGAGCTTGTAGTTTCAGTTTCACCTCATAAGGCTTATGTGCATCTGTTGTGTTCCAGTCCATAATATGGTTGAAAGTATATGTACTTTGGTTGGGTAGTGGTTAAGCAATTTCAGTGTGTCTATAGCACCTGAAAACAGTTGAATTGTTTAAGAAAATATTTCTCAAATTGTCTTTTGTTCAATCCTGTATGGTTTTAACTCTCATTTCTGGTTTTTCTTCCAATGCTTCTGAAAATAATAATGATAATATTAACAACCTGTTTTCCAATACATGTACTTTTTCAGAAACTAAGAAATCAAAAAAGAAGTCGTCTGCCACTGGTGGCCGTCAAGGTTCATCATTCCAAGTAAGAATTCTTTCAATTCTGTCGTCAATTGGCTTTATTTACCATGTAGAGGCAGACTGTCTGCCGTCCTTTACTAGCAGCTTCTTTTAATTCCATTCAAAGTAAAATTTCAATGGAAGCATTGACTGTTTCTTGAAACTCCTGTTGAAAAAAAAATTGTAAAACCCATGTCTACTATATACATCTGTGCCCATCAAATACAACTCAATTGGGTGAAGATTTTAATGGATTTATGTCAGTTTCTTCAATTTTACTTGAAGCCAAGAGGATTATTATTTCTGAGAACATTGACATACAGTATTATACAACTGTGACTGTATCACTGCAAGTTACGAAGTGTAGTAATTTTGCGGTATTGCACAGAATATCGCCAACCTACCATATTAGGAAATTCCAAATATGGAATGATTATGTGATATTTCCACAATGGCAGGCGTTTTTAAAAAACAAAGTTCATAGCAGGGAATGTTCTAATAATTTTCAACATTTTTAGCTCCCGTTGACAGTCAATGAGTGCCTATGTAGTGGTCTGTCTGTCTGTCTGTCTGTCTGTCTGTCTTTCCGTCCGTCTGTCTGTCCATCTGTTTGCCAAATTTGTGAAGGCGATATCTCAGTGGTCAGAATCAGATGAGGTTGGGCAATTGCAAGATCTGATTAGGTTTGAAAATATTTCCTGTTGACAGTTAATTAGGAAAATTTGCAAATGAATGAATTCTTGTTTCATTAATAATAAAAGATCTGATGTATAGGGATTTGATGATGCAAAGGATAAACCTAGCTGCTAGGGGTGAGCTAGGTTGGGTTGGCTTGAAAAAAAATTTACAAAAGTTGAGTGCTACAAATTTCCACTTCACCAAGGAAACAATAATAAACCATTTTAGGCTCATAATTTGAAATTAATGTTATTTTCTTTTGGTTTTGGTAAGACCTGGATAAATAGAGGAACATGCCCCAATATAAAAGATTGAAACTAATTTTTCAGTGAGAAAAATATTTAAGTCATACAGATTTAGTATCGTCTCGTAATTTAGAAATTGAAACGGGAAGACATTTTCAACTAGCTAGAATCAAAACAAATTGTTTATTTTGTGTAAATAACACCTTTGGGGACGAATACCATTTTTGTCTCATTTGTTCCACCTTCCATGAATTACGTGTCCAGTATTTCCCATTATATTATCGTACTGATTGTTATCCTGGTAAATTTATCGAGCTCATGAGTTGTATCAAAGTTGCCACTATACACGATGCAGCTAAATTTGTTTACCACATGTTTGTCTATTTTTAAGTACCTTCTCATGGTGTTTTATATCATATTTCCCAGAATCCATAGGGATGATCTATTTTGAGTTTTTGCCCAATGATTCAGCAATTCCTGTGTGCAAAAATAAATTATGGTTTAATATGACAATTTTTTTTTTTTTTTTTATTATGGCTCCATGGACAAATTATTATTTTTGTTTTACCATATAAATCAATTGTATTGGTTTTTATTTAAAAAAATATTTATTATCGTGGGAGCCAGATCTCAGACAGTCATCAGATGCATTGTAAGGTTTCTGTGGTTTCAATTATTTTACAGCAACATGCAAATTAGCATCAGATTGTCTGAAAAATTGACATTTGACATGAATAGTCAGTCAGTAGAGAATTGATCTGATGAATTATATCCATACTTAATTCGTTTGATTTCCATATTCATTTATTCCTTCTTTTACCGACCTACGTCTTTATCCATGACGAGGACACTTGTAGAAATTTGAGTACTCTGCTATCCTACACTAAGCAGTTGGATCAAGAATCGGGGCTTAAAAGGTTATTATGAGAACACCATTCAGACAGTACAGTATTGTAGACAGTGCACAGTCACTACTTGTCAGTTGATACTTCCGCTGTACTGAATATTTTCTGGCATCCTCGCAATCTCCTCATAACTTCTAAAAAGATCATTGTCGGTTTCAGCGCATTTTATCATCATTTCCCATGTTGAGGGAATTATGGAATTTTCAAAATTGTCTTGGTTACTTAGATTGTAAAAAGATATATGTGTACTTTTTTTTCTTTCAGTTTCAAAGATTTGTTTCATTTCCTATGGGATTTTAATGGATATGCATGTTTTCATTGTAGTCTATGGAAACAGCTATTTTAATTATAATTGTTTGCTTTTTAGTCCCCGTTCAGATGCTGTCTGAAAACTGGGATTTATTGATTGACCTTTGTACGTCCATATGTGCGTGCGTCTGACCCTGTTTCTTAGACATGCCTGGACCAATCACAATCAAACTTCACACATACCGGTACATCATACATAATATTATACATACATTGTATGCACATCAAAAATCAAGAATTTTTGGCATTCCAAAACTGGATCTTGGCAATTATGGATATATTTTGTTCAAACTTGGTACATACATTAGAGATTATGGGTTCCTGATGCACGTCATTTTATTTTTCAGATCGGATTTTCAGATTGGTAAAAAGTGATATTTTTGACGACTTGTTAAAAACCGCAAGTCAGATTGATTTGATATTATACATAAAGGTACTTCAGGTGGATTTCTCTCAGATTTGTTGATTTTGTGATATCTTTTTTAATTCTTTAATTGAAATGTGCATTGCTAACAGCGGAGCTATCTCAGCCGAGAGGCTGC